GCCTTTAAGTACCTAATTAATATAAATATTATATAATTGAATATAGAAGAATAGGTCGAGTACGGATAGGACAGGAAATGAATATATGAAATAGAAGGATATTATAGGAGGGGAAGTTATATATAAAAGGCTATGGCCTTTGGTATATAACTAAAACCTCGGAAGCGATATAGATATATAAAGTATTTGGGAAATCTGGTACTAGGCGGGATTAGGGAATTTATATATAATCGGAGAGAGATACTGTTTTTCGTGTTTTTAGAAAGTTTCTAGTATTAGTATAGCTATTCCTTTAGGAGTTATATATATAGTTATAGGATATGGGTAATAGGATATAGGTAATAGGATATGGGTAATGAGATATGGGATACGGGATATGGTTATGTGACCTTGTATTCTATTAGTAACTCGACTAGTAGACTAGATCCCTTTAGGCTTAGCAGATTTAGGAATCATATATTAATACTATAATACTGTAATCCCTATTTCGGAATAATAATAACTTTACTAACTAATGCAACTAGTATTTCTATACCTATATAATAGTACTATATATTACTAGTAAACCGATATTAATTAATAAATAAAATCTATATTTTAAAATCTAATAAATTATTAATAAAATTAGTAATAGAAAGTATTTAAATCTTTATTATAATTAATATTAAAGCCTCTAAATTCTTAATTATTAGTTATAATTAATTCCAAGCTTTATAATAAACTAATAATAATATTAAATTTAATAAAATTACTAAAAAATTAAATTAATATTTAGTTTAATATCGGATTTATATTTTATATTATATTTATAAAAATTCTATTTTTATTTAGTTTAGTTAATATAAATAAGCTAGAAATCTATTTTAATAATTTTACTAATTATTTTATTATTTTTATTAAATATTATATATTTATAATATAATATTTTAAATATTCTTTTTAATTTCAAAATATTATATTATAAAGTTATATTTTTAAATTCTTTATTTATAACTTCTATTTTCTTATAAATATTAAATTATATTATTTATATTATTATAGTTATTTATTAGTTAGTAAGCTTCGAAATATATTAGAATAAATAGATTATAATATTAATATAAAAACCCTGAAATATTTTATAAAATATTATAAATAATACTAGAAATTCGAATAATTATTAAAATAATTCAAGTTTAATTTAAAAAATAATATTAGCTTTAATTACTTTATTATTATTAATATTTTATATATTCAAAATACTTTAAAATAATATTAGATTAATATTTATTTAGATTCTTTTAATTAGATTATAATAAATACTAGAAAGTAGTTTATTAATAAAAATTTATTTAATTTATAAATATTATAAATACTAAAATTATTTTTATTTTTATAAAAATTAATAATTTTATTAAAATTATAAAATACTATTATAGTTCGATTTAATATATTTATTTTATTATTATAGCTAAAATTAATAGAATTAATAAAAATATTATATTTTAAATAGCTTTTAAGGCTATTAATAATTTTATAAAATCTAATAATTTTTTTTTAATTTTTTTAATTTATAATACTTTATTTTAAATAACTAAATATAATATTCTATTATTAATTATATTATAGTAATTAATAGTATTTAAAAAAGTAATAATAGAAATTTAAAAGCTTTAAACTAAATATTAAATTACAAATATTTTAAATACCTGAAATAGTTCTAATATTACTAATATTTATAAACTTTTTTTAAATTCGAATATTCTTATATAATATAAAAAATACTAATTAATCTAGTAATTAGAATAAGCTATATAAGCTAGTAGCTATTAATAAAAAGAATTATATATTAGCTTTATTATATAGTTATATTACTTTTTATTTAATTTCTATAAAGCCCTTTTTTATAAGAAATATTAAAGTTAATATATCTAAATCTAAATATAATTTCAAATTTTATAATAAAGCTAAAAGTAATATAAATATAATTTCTTTTATAATTTCTTTTATTATTTCTACTATTTATTAAAGTATAATAAAGAATACTTTTATAAGAACCCGAATATTATAATATATTTATAAGATAATAATTTATATAAAATAATAATTTATATAAGATAATAATTTATATAAGATAATAATTTATATAAGATAATAATTTATATAAGATAATAATTTATATAAGAATTTTTATTAAATTAAAATTACTAGTCTTTTAAAAAAGACTATTTTTAAGATTATTTCTAGATCTCAAATATTAAAAAAAAATTCAATTCTCGGTTTATTAATAAAATCAAGAATAAGAATATAGAAAAAGAGCTTAAAAAGTTAAAACTAGTTATTTAAGTTTATAATAATAGTAAAAAATATATAATATTAATATAATTATTTATTATTTAATAAATTAGTTAGAAAATTATTTTTAATATTATTATTATTATAATAATAAATATTATAAAATTATATTTATATAATATTTTATAAGCTTATATCTAATTAATAACTTTATTTAATTATAATTTCTATATTAATTTATTTTATAAGCTTATTAAAGAGCTAAATCTAAAAAAATAATTCTATTTTAAAAATTATAAAACTATTATATAATATATTAAAAGCTAGGAACTACTAGTTTAAAACTTATTATTTCTATTATATTAATAAGCTTTTTATAAAATAATTAATTTATAACTCTTACTTTTTTTATAATAAGTAATTTTTTAAAATTATTAGCTTTTAAACTAATAATATTCTATTTATTAAAACTAATAATTTTATAAAAGTATAATAATTAAAACTTTAAAAACTAAATTCTTAGTTAAGAAATATAAATACTTTACTTTTAATTATAATCTCAAGTTTAATAAAGATATTATTTATATAAATACTACTAGAATTACTTTTATATAAAAATACTAGTATTAAAACCTCTAAATTATTTTTATAAAGAATATTATTATTATTATTATAAATAATAAAAGTACTATTTATTAAGATCTTTCTATTAAGAACTAATATATTATCTAATATATTAGAAAAGTATATATTATATTAATTTATTAATTAAAAGCTTTATATAATTTATTAATTATTATTTAAGTTATTAAATTCTCGGAAACTAATATAAAGGTATTTAATAAATATATTTAATAGTAAATTGAGAATATTATTAAAGAACTAAAATTCGTGAAATTAATAAAAGTATTTTTATATTTAATTATTTTTATAAATAATAAAGATTTCTGTTTTTAAATTTAATATATTTTAAATTTAATAAATAAAACTAGATATACTATTATTATTTACTAGTTCTTTATTAAATATAAGAAAATTATTAGAAGTATTCTAGTTTTAATATAAATACTTTAATTAAATTTATAATTAATAAAATAATAGAAATAGAACTATTATTAGTTATTTATATGAATTCGAAGTTATTATATAAATATTTTATTAAATTAGATATTACTTAAAAGAAATATCTAATAATTAATATAATATACTTTTACTAAATATATAAATAATAAGAAATTATAGAAATTAAAGAAATTAAAGAAAAATCGAATTCTATTAATTCTATAATAAAATTAAAGTTATTAAATACTTTTAAATATTTAATTAATATAAATATAATAATATATAAATAATAAAATATAAGATATAGAATATAAGATATAGGATATAAGATATAGGACATAAGATATAGAATATAAGATATAGGATATAAAATATAAGATATAATTATATAACTTTATATCTTATAAATAATTTAATTAGTAGCTAGTTTCTATTAGGTTTAATAGATTTAGGAATCGCATATTAATATTATAATATTATAGTTCTTATTTCTAAATATTAACTATTTTATTAATTTAATATACTAGTATTTTATATATATTATATAATAGTATTATATATTATTAGTAAACTAATAATAAAATATAAAATTATATAATTATATTTTATATCTTATATTTTATTATTTTTAAATCTTGTAATTAAGTATATAACTTCTAAAGTAATAGTTATACTAATAATAAATTATTATAAAATACTAGAAATTTAATTATTTAAGCCAAAAGCTAAGAAATTAAATAAAAAACTCTTTCGAGATTCTAAAAATATATAATTACTTATTTCTTTTAAAGCTATTGGAAATTATAAAAATATATTTAGTTTTTTATATAAAGAAATTATAAAAGAATTCTTAAAACTCTTTATTAAATTAAATAAACTTAAAATTACTTCTAGTAATATTAAAAAATATTAAATATAATATAATATTAAACGAGTTATAATAATTAAGCTAATAAAAAATAAACTAAAATTTAAAATTTAATAAATTAGTTAAAATAAAGATCTAGAATAATATTTAGCTTTAATATTAAATAAATTATATAAAAAATAATACTTGCTTGAAATTATATAAATAATAATAATAAACTCTTTTAAATTATATTTTAAAAAGCTTTTATTTTTAATATATAATATTTATATATAAAATATTAGAAATCCGAGAAATATAATAAAAAATAAAATAAATTATTAGCTTTTATAAAGCTCGAAAATAAACTTATTTAAAAAAAATATATATATTATAATATATTACTTAAATTTTAATAAGCTTAAAAATATTAAAAATTATAAATTATAAAACGTTTTATAAAAAATACTTTAAATAATAAAATAATATATTTTTCTTTTTAATATTTAAGCCTTTAAATTAGTTTTATTAATAATAAAGAGTATTTGAAGTTCGAAAATTACTTAGGTATTAATACCAGTAATACCTTATTAATACCGTATTAATATTATTAAAACTGGATTATTGCCGAGCCTGTTCGATATAAAGTTAAAAGGAAATAGGGTTGGCTTGAATCGCATGTCTGGGAAGTTAGCTAATAGTAATTCAACTCAAAATACAACCAATTTTTTTCGAGAAGAGAAGAGAACACTCTACTAGGTAAGTCCCAATCCATAGACGATGTTATTAAGCCTTTCCCTAACGCTAAAGCCTCGAATTACCACAATCCGAACCTCTCTCTAAAAGAGTTCCTTCCCTCTCTCGGATCCTTTCCCTCTCTCGGATCCTTTCCCTCTCTCGGATCCTTTCCCTCTCTCGGATCCTTTCCCTCAAGCTCCACATGTATACTAATCGACTCCTCCCCAAGCTCAACATAATTACTTCCCATCTCCACTCCACCTTTATCCCCAGAACCTATTTGCTGTTTCCTCCCCCTCCTCTTCTTGAAAACCAACGACCTAATAGTCGGCAACCTAGCTTCTGGACCTTGAAGAACGGTTCCCGGATGCGTAACATTGTAGCACAGGATTGCAAGGCACATCGGTACTGCTTCTAAGACGTAGAAATATACTTCGTGGTATGGAAGAGGGTTGGAAGATGTCTTGCCGCCGGAGAACTCGATGAGACGGAAGAAGATACGGATCTGCATCCAATCAATATCTTGTGATAGCTTTGGAGAGGGAGGGGAGGAAAACTCACGGTTATGAATCCCAAACTCCCATAAAGCGTAAAAAGCAGACCCTTCCACCCCTCCTTCGCGCTCCCCACCCTCTCTAACCAGAACATCTCGCGATGAAACTTCACTCCCAGCGCCAAAAAAAGGAAGATGAACAATTGCTGGAGGCCGATACCTCCCATATAGATATGTACTCCTTTGAGCTGTTGAGTCATAGGCGCTGTGGGACCGGCGTAGCTGCCGCCGATGAGTTGGATGACGAAGGAGATGAAGTCGAGTGTCACGAACGCGATTGCGAGGACGGAGGCGGGGATCGAGAAAATTGAATGGATGGGAAGGTAGAAGTGGATCATTCGGGCGAGAAGCATGTATGCAAAGGCGTTGACCCCTATCATCAGTCAGCTTGCTGTTCGACGGCGATACGTAGGAAGAGGGAATTACAGAGAGGGGCAAGCAGGACGAAAAGCTCGGAAATAAGCTCGATCCATTCATTCTGTTGATTGCGAGTTGATATTGCCCGTGCAGTAAATGATATCGTCTCCCAAATACTAGCCATGATTATAACCCAGCAGAATTTCTTCTCTCGGCGTTAGCTTGATTCGATGTTCAATACGTGTAATGAAGAAGCTACCGTCTTGAAGAGCGCAGCTTGAGCGATGTGAGCAATCGTCAACATCCCAAAGATAATTGAAAATGCCAACGCAGCTGTGAAACTTGGATAGTAGTTGTACAGCGCGTGACAGGTCCCAGGTGGTACGTAGCCATTCTTGTCAGGTGTGATTGTTTGGATGCACGTTGGGACTGCGATGCTGATTGTTTGAGGTGAGAGTGTGACGTGGTCGTTCGTTATGCCAGGAATGGTTATGTAATTTGTTGTCATGAACTCGATTGCTGATGTGGTGGTACCAGTGGCTGTATCTCTTGGAGCGAGAGTGGGAGTTGGCGCCGAGAAGGCCGTGCTGATTGCGAGGGCAAAGGCTCCTGTCTCGAGGACCGCAGCTAGGAGAGTGAAGCGTATTAGCAACATTGTTGCTATGAGCCCTCAGCAAAACGAGGTAAATGCAGTGGGTAGTAATTATAAAATTAGGAACGGGACTTTGAGAAAAGCTAGCTGTGAAAGTTTGAATTGATCGAGAGGGGGGCGATTTTCCGACTATTTGCTTGGTGATGGACTTGAAGTGAAGAATATATGTTCGCACTGGTAGGCAACATTATATAGAGTGAAGAAAGACGACGGGCTTGTAAGGAAATCCACTTGAGACGAGCACTGCCTGAACAAAAACTTTCACCTGACACCGCGAGATGCACATCACGCCAAGAATTCCTCTTTATGATAGGCCCATCGTAAAAATGGTACCTGACTAACATATTAATTTCCAGAGTTCGATGCTCTGAATGGACCCCGCGGAACAAAATCCCCTGCGAAAATATATTTGGAGTTCCAGCCCCAATTTCGAAACTCGGAATGTCAATGAATTAGCACGTGTTTTCTCGTACTTGGCGCTCTGATGTCCCGGTGTAGCGAATCAATGGTCAAGGATGCATTACTCAAAGCTGACAACTAGAAAAGGGGGCTCAGGCTCGGCACAGCCCGAACGCACACTGCACACAGCGCAACGCTAACGAGAGTACCCCTGAAATAATCAACAAGACTGAGGCTTTGATCTAGCCTCGAGAAAGCAATTTCACTTCTAGCCAACGGGCATTCTATCAAGACGGGTCCACATAATGTCTCCGAGGCTCAATGGATTAGAGCCGCGCCCTATGACTCCTTTGCTGACGTGCTACGCCAAAAAGGGAAGGTCAGATTGCTGAGATATACTTTTGTGTATTGAGCCCTCAACTCATGAACCCTCTCAAAAGTGTGTCAATTCTAAACCCGGACAAAAACAAGATGAATATCCGTCAAAGTAACTCTCGATGACTTGGAGGCTATTACGGAGATTATTCTACGTTCCATGACGATCCGAATATGGGTTACCCTTTCCCAAACCGAAGGGAATTTCCTGAAGTCTGAAGCACCTCGACGAAAGAGAGGTTTGAGTTTATTTTGTAGAGCCAGAAATATATTCGATAATGGTGGCATGTTCGAAGACAAACGAAGACCACACAATTGTGGCGCCGGTAGCTTATGCTGCTCGGGGCATTGATTCTGGTGAGCTGCCTGAGATCTTAATCTGAGAAAATATATTGACAAATTCCCAAGCCCCCAGCACAAATGTAGTCAGCCTCAGATTATGAGCAGAGGCCAGAACCAGGCAGGCATTGGACATTCAACACACACCACAGCCCAGCGAGAAGCATTGGCGAAGGCCAGGAAAGAGTTCTTTGACGAAGTTTACGGGGGAAGAAATATCGAGCTGCTCTTGCTTGGTACACATCCGGAATATCAACATCGCGGGGCCGCGAGCAATCTTGTGAGATGCGGGATAGAAATGGCAAGCGAAATGAGAAGGTTGGTGTTGTGATTGGAAGTTCCTCGGGAACGAAGCTTTACTTGAAGCTTGGCCGCAAGCTCGTTGGCGATATTTCTATACAGCTGGATGGTGAAGATGATAAAATGGATCTTTCTGTCCTAGCCTTCGAGCAGGATGGAGGGGTCAAGGCGCAGTGAGAACCAAGTGATGGAGGGGTCTGAACTAGAGGTAGAGGAGAGAAGATAGTTTTGAACCCCCAACATTTCGAAGTGTGCGGAGATCCAAGCACTTGCACTTGTACGGGCGTAATAAACAGGCAATTCGTGCATGGTAACGTGTAGATAGATTCAGAAAGTAAATGACTGTCATGAAGAAGTAGATCAATAGAGTACATACCATCCGAACCAACGCCGATTACCAATGCCGCTTGTCTACAATATTTGGGTCTGTCCCATTAAAATATACTCCCGCGCTAGAAATGCATGTGGACAACCCAACCTCATGTATATGCTCCTTTGAAACTCCCCGTACCTAGCAACCTCCCTCCTAGGGCTATTTCCTCAGCATATATGACAAGTCCGGTAGCCCCTTAACGACACTTTGCACTATTCGATCTTGCTCGATCTCCTCTCTTGACTTCGGGTTCTGCGGAGGGATCGACGTCACAGCAGGAGTGCTAAAAGTAACAGACTTCGGCATGGACTTCGGTATCGGAGCATTAGGTGCCTTCGAGACACCGGCCGTGCTACTCTCGAAGAAAGAGAAATCTGCGGATGCCCATGGATCAACACTTACAGCTGTCGCAGGTTGACGAACTGTTTGTGCATTTGGACTGAAGGCAGTTCCCATGTAATGGTTGCTGGATGTTGTGAAGCCATTTTGACCAAATGTGTTTGTGGTGTTAATGGTCATAGAATTCGTAGTTGGGAGTGATAAACTTTCGTTAAAATTGCTGGCCCTATCAACTGTTTGCTCTAGTTTGAGCGGTTGAAAGTGTACGCTCGTTGGCTCTAGTGTTGGAGCTGTTCGTGGGAATGCCGAGCCCAGGTTTCCTGTTGTTTTGTGAAGTGATTTTGATGGTGATGGTGATGGAATAGCTGGTGTAACGCTGGTTGACGGCGAAGAAACCAATTCACCCCAATCACCATCGTCGTTGGTAATATTTGAAGTATTGAGAAATGGTGGGATCGATATGCTAGTATTAGCAATGGAATGCGAGCGGGGAGGTGTTCCATTCATTGCTATATCTCTTTTCGTAGGTTCTGCGAGTGGAGAAGAAACTCGACTAGCAGTTGGTATTGGAGCTGGGGCTATCTTGCCTGCTGCCAGTGGAGCGCCGGAACTCGAACAGGAGGGATTCTTCTTGTGCACTGGCGATTGTGGTTTTGAATCTTGCATGCTCGGAGGGGCGGCATTCCACCCAAAATTTGCAACGGACAATTGTGGCTTTGCATCTTCAGTCGTGATGGATTTAGTCGAGCTCTTTCTCCTTGCTTTTGATAGCGAGGGACTTCTGGACGTTGACCGAGTTCGAACAAGGCCTTTAGGCCACTCTCTGGGGATCTCCACAACCGGCTCAATTGCTGCTGGCACAGCTTTTTGCTTGCCATTATTGATAGCAAATGCTGCAGCGAGTGGTACAGGTGCAGCTTTGGAGTCATTCCAGCCAAAGATAGAGCTCCCTTTGCTGGCACCACCTAGGACCACCCGGCCACTGATTCGGTCTTCTTCTATCCATCGGGCCACAGTTTTCAATGTCTCTGCACGAACTTGAGATTGCGTCCAGTTCACCCGTACGTAGTTCTCATCGTCTCCGGTGTTGTATTTCCGCATCGTCCCATATCTTGAGATTCTGTACCAAGTTTTCCGTTCCTCAGTAGAAGAGAATGAATCATGAGAGGCAACGTCTGGAATGAAGACTTTCTCTGGGGGAGGCTTTGCTTCCGTGTGAGAGTATATTCGATCAAGGGCAGTTGCGTCGACGGTAAATTCGACGGGCCCAAGATCCTTTGGTACGACCCGAGCTTGGGACACTTCATGGGTAGCCTCTGGTTCACGAGCATTAACCTTAGAGTCTTCCTGAATAGGCGACTTCGGTGGAGGATCTGCTCTCCTTTCGTCCATCGGTTCAACGGTCTCGGATTGCACATTCTCAAAATCCCCAAATTCATCCATCTCCTCTTCGTCTTCTTCAACATCTCTCACATCTTCCGTCTGCCGGGCCGGACTGCCAATTCTACCCACGATTGGCACGGCGACCTCCTCTTGTTTAGCAAGACCATCAAAGTGCTCCACCAGTTCCTGAATTTTCGTGGACACTTTCCTTGCCACAGAAGGACGTTTTGGTTCCTCGTCAAGAGATGTGCGCGGCGAGTCTTGTGTCGTGTCATCATGGCGACTGTGCTCTGACGGAGAGGATGACGGTCTTGAGGGTACATGTTGGGCCACTTGAATGTCTCCATCCTGCTCGTGAACCTCAATGGGCGTCAGAGTTTCGACACTCCCCCCGTTGCTTCTACTCGACTCCTCCGCAATGACATTTGCACCATTAGTCGTAGTTAGGCTATCTTCAATTCCAATCGTCCCAGCCAGCATTCCATCCTCCACAACCACGGGAGACACAACCTGGGTTATCTCCTCATCATGGCTCAAATCCAGCATAGGTTCCACAGCGATGGCCCCCTTATCATGTCTATCGGCTGTTACAGGAAGGGTCTCTGCGAGCTCGTCTTCCTGGTTTGTGTCCATGGCCCAAGGATCTGGTGAGGGCTGCCGCAGGATGCCTAAAGGCTTCGGAAGTAGACTCAGCCCCAGATTCGGCGTGCGATCATCAGATATTGCAGCATCATTGTTCAACGAGCCTGACAGCGCGTGCGAGCCCTCGATTGTAAAGCGATATCCGGGCCCATCCCCAACATTACTCGTCCACCCATCATCTGCCCCGTCGAGTCCCAGGCCCTTTTCCTTCTTCTCCGGCGTTCCGACAGCCCAGTCTCCAAACCCATCATCGTCTGGATCGTCCCAAGGAGAACTCGTCTTCTGCTCCAAAGCCAAGCTTGCTGCCTTGACTGGGGTTGTCGGCTTGAATGCGAAGCCGTTCTCCTTCAGCTTAATAGGGTGTGGAGTTTGTGTTTCGTCTGCCCACGGCGAGCCCCAAGGGTCGTCCATTGCCATAAAAATGAGCAGGGGCTCTCATATTGATATGATATGCGAGTAAACTGGCGTGCTTATTTTCAAGAGACACAATGTCAATATTCACAGTTGTCTGATGAGCAGGTCTGGGCACCTTGGCGGATGTCGGGAACAAAGCGCGTCAGTGTTTGGCCTGTTTGTCCGGATTTGTTCCGCGGATTGCTAATCGATAAGGATTTCTTCTTCATTACATCGACTTTACAATGCGACAACTACACGACACAGAAGATTGAGTGTTTGACGAAGAGTCAAGATGTCTCTAGATAAAGTCAAACACATTGTTCTTGTAAGCCTTCTCGGAAACTCTCCGCAGTCCAACTAACACGCCATAGGTCCTCTCTGGCAAAGGTGGCGTAGGGAAATCCTCCGTCACAACTCAACTGGCTCTATCCCTCTCCCTAGCTGGTCATTCGGTCGGAATACTCGATATAGACCTCACTGGACCGTCAATACCACGTCTTTTTGGCATCGAGTCCTCGAGAGTTCAACAAGCTCCAGGAGGATGGGTGCCAGTGCCAGTACATTCTGCGAGCCCAGAAGCTGGCATAGGCGCACTGTCATGCATGAGCTTGGGATTTCTTTTGCGAGAGAGAGGTGATGCTGTGGTATGGCGCGGTCCGAAAAAGACTGCTATGGTGCGCCAATTCCTCTCAGACGTGCTTTGGGGAGAAATCGATTACCTCCTCATTGATACCCCGCCAGGAACATCAGACGAACACATATCCCTCGCAGAAACGCTCCTTAAGACCGCATATCCAGGGCAAGTCGCTGGAGCCGTGGTAGTCACAACACCACAGGCGGTTGCCACAGCCGATGTGAAGAAGGAGTTGAATTTCTGCAAAAAGACTGGCATATATGTTATCGGGGTGGTAGAGAACATGAGCGGCTTTGTCTGTCCAAACTGCTCAGAATGCACAGACATATTTAGCAGAGGCGGTGGTGAAGCCATGGCCATAGAGTTTGAGGTCGGGTTCTTGGGAAGGATACCGATTGACCCGCAGTTCGTGATGTTGTTGGAGGCAGGGAGGACGCCAGTTTATCCTGTTGGGACAGTGATTAATGGCGAGAACTTTGGACCTCGAGAGAGCGGCGATGCCTCCACCTCCGCAAGCACTAAGGACCCCGAGACGCTTGCTAATAAGTATAGAGAGTGCTCGCTGTCCCGGTTCTTTGGGGACATCACCCAAAAGGTCATTGGGGTGGCAGAGGCAAGAAGCACAGAAGCACAGAAGGCATAACTGTCTGAGCATCATATGCCTGGAGTAATTGCATAGCGATGGTGTTTGGATTTTGATGACAAGTTCGTCTTTGGCGCACCAGCATATAATACATAAAGGCTAGGCGCAGGTTTGCCTGGAATGAATATTTAGGGAACTTCCTAATACTCGATAGTCTCGGATCTTCATCAAAGGGAAGTCAAAGTCACACTCTCCGCAAATTTCCGCTTATATTCGTGTTGTTGGCTTGGTTATACAAGCTTCTTAGCCCGTCAGCAGCTATCCTGCAGAGGCACGCAGTAATCTTCTTTCTATCATAAGGGTTTCAATTGAGAAGTTATTACGAAAAATCTTGTGTGATTGATGGCAAGCGTATCGAATCACGTTCAGCTTGCCAAGGGAGGCAGTGTGGTCTTGATGTTACCGCCTTTCGCCTTGGCTTCTTGGCATTTCCTCCCCGCCGTCTCTGCATCAATTTCTACCATTCTCTTAAATATTTCTTCTTTCCCCGGAATTATCTGTCAAGATTGATACTCTTTCAAGGTTCCAGCCAATTGTTCGGAGGTTAGTGCCACTTGTGCAAATGTATTCCTTTTTCCACCAAGGTACCGACCCAGGAGGATGTTGGTAATCTTTGCCGAGACAAACTCCATGCATCCCAAGAATTACCAAGCTGCCAATGTCTTCATCGCCTTGTCTCCTTCCATATTCAATTATCTTGCCCGCCGCTAAGTAGGTCGACTTCAAGGATTCATCCAGTCTAATTCACGCATCCAGCTCGGTTTTGCGATACCAAACGTGCTGTGATCTCGGAGCACAGTTTCCCCAACTGCTACCTCATTTTTGCGACGTAAAAGAGGGGAAAGAGACCTTGGCTTTGATAACGAGCCGCTGCAAGACGGCTTCTTTGGCCTTTCTAGAAGACTTGCTTGCGTCATGTCCATTCAGAAACCGCCATTTCATTTGGGTGCGAGGGCTCGACTGGGTCTGTCGATCAAGATATAGTGACTAGGGTCATGACTGTTGATCTCATGCGACCAAACAAGTATAAATCAAGAAGCATCCTCATTTCTCTACTTGAATTTATCAAATCCGTTTGTACGTTCTTACGCAGCTGCGTGACTCCTTTTCAAATTCGCAAACCCACCGCCGTTGCCCACCATGGACGGGAAAGATCCCCAAGAGAAAGACATTGGCATCATCAGCCCTGCCAACAGCTCCACCCCAGAATATGAGTCTGACAACATAGACGTCACCCATGAGAAGCTGGGTTTCTGGACGCGCATGGGATGTACACCAGAGTCGTTCAAGCAACGAACATCATCAAACGATGACAATCTACTCAACCATACCCTCAAGCCCCGCCATCTGCACATGATTGCGATTGGTGGGTCAATTGGTGCTGGCTTCTTCGTTGGATCTGGAAGTGCACTCGATAAAGGTGTAAGCCACGTCCCCAATGTTTATTATTGAGCGCCCAAGCTGACATTGCAAGGGTCCCGCCACACTACTCATTGATTTCGCCATTATGGGTGTCATGATTTTCAACGTTGGTAAGTGCATTTTTTGATTAAGTGGAAAACTAAAGCTGACCAGTATGTTACAGTCTATGCTCTTGGAGAGCTCGCTGTCATGTATCCTGTCTCAGGCGGTTTCTACACTTATTCTACTCGGTTCATCGACCCCTCATGGGGATTTGCTATGGGTTGGAGTAAGTGATCGGCTTGGGGAATATTCTTTCGCCTCTAATTGGCCCTGCAGATTATGTGTTCCAATGGGCCATCGTCCTTCCTCTCGAACTCGTCGTCGCTGGCTTCACTGTGGGATACTGGAATCCAGACATCAACGTCGGAGTTTGGATTACGGTCTTCCTCATCGCAATCGTCATCATCAACGTTTTTGGCGTTCTTGGCTTTGCCGAGGAAGAGTTCTGGTCTAGCATCTTGAAACTGGCAGCAGTTGTCATCTTCATGATCGTTGGGCTGATCCTAGGTGAGCCATATCATCTGAGATTTAAAAGACTTGCTGACCAGTCACTTAGTATGTGGTGGTGGCCCCAGCAGAGGCATTTATAGCAAATACTGGGGGGCGAGACTCTGGTATGATCCAGGTGCATTCAAAAATGGATTCAAGGGAGTCTGTGCTGTGTTCGTCACGGCCGCTTTTGCGTTCTCGGGCACAGAGCTCGTCGGTCTCGCTGCTGCCGAAGCCGAAAACCCCGCCAAAGCTCTTCCTGGTGCCATCAAGCAAGTGTTCTGGCGTATCACCTTGTAGGGCACTTTTTCTTCAAGTCTTCTTAGCAGCTAACACCCCCAGGTTCTACATCATTGGTCTCCTGTTCGTCGGGTTGCTTGTCAGGTGAGACTATCTTCCACTTCCAAGACTAATAAATCTAACAAAGTCAGCTCTACAGATGACCGCCTCCTGGGTGCCAACCCATTCATCAACGTCGCCGCAAGTCCATTTGTTATTGCCGCCAAAGATGCTGGTCTCATCGGCTATGATAGTTTCATGAACTTCATCATCCTCGTTTCCGTCATCTCTATCGGCAACTCAGGAGTCTACGGTGGCTCTCGAACCTTGACCGCCCTCGCAGAGCAGGGCTACGCCCCCAAATTCTTCGCCTACATCGATCGATCCGGCCGTCCTCTCTTCTCAACAATCGCCATCCTACTCTTTGGATGTCTAGGCTACGTTACCCTGAGCGCATCTGGTCCTGTAGTCTTCGACTGGCTACTCGCTCTCTCTGGGCTTGCGGCTCTGTTCACATGGGGTTCTATCTGCTTGGCACACATCCGCTTCCGCAAAGCATGGGCACATCAAGGGCACACCCTGGATGAGATCCCATTCAAAGCCGTGTTTGGTGTATACGGTTCTTACGCAGGCTTGATTCTCATCTTCCTTGTTCTTGTAGCACAGGTAATCACATTCCTTCCCTTTACACGTCACTCAAAACTCATATCACCCAGTTCTACATCGCACTCTACCCACTCGGGAAAATGGGCAAAATTGGTACCGCTGAAGATTTCTTCAAACAGTATCTTGCGCTACCAGTTGTGATCGTGTTCTGGATTTGTGGGTATTTCTGGAAGCGCACAGGCTGGTTGAGGACGAGTCAGATTGATGTTGATACCGGCAGGAGAGAGGTCAATTGGCAGTTGATTAATGCGACGAGGGCAGAGATTGCGAGCTATCCAGCGTGGAAGAGGCTCGGGTATTTCTTGTTCTGAGGGGTAAAGTGTAGGTTGCAAAGAGGGGAAGGGGCTGCGGCGAATAAGGGTGGACCAAGGTAAAGGTTTTGATTTTCTAAGTCTCTAAACATCTTCAATGGGCGACGGACCATGTTCGCTGTTTTTTCATGTTGCTTTTATATAGAGAGAATATGCATGGCTTTCTACAACTCAGATTGAACCCACTGTCAACAGATCTTAGCCTTCCCTTCAATAAATCCAAGAACGCCTTCCGACCAATCTGTGCGGGTTCAAACCGCTCAAGTAGAAACAATGGGAAGCCGTGCGGGCCTCCCGGAATCAACTTCACCAGCGCTTCACCACCAGCAACCTGCCACTTAAACTCATCATGACCGTATCATCAATGAACGGATCCAAAGTCCCGCAAGGAAACAAAGCAGGTAGCAACTTCGGCTTTTGCTTCTCCGCTTCTGCCTTCAAATCCTCCAGAGTAGCGAGCTGCGAGCCCGGATACCGGAAAATCCGGTAATAGATAGGGGGAGTATGGCAGGATCTCGACGTTCTTCCATGGTTCGATCCCCGAGATACGCTTCCCCGAAACGCTTGACGTTCTCCATCTTCATGGTGAGAGGTGTCTCCCAGTTGTTGCAGCTGGGTGAGAGAGACCAATCGAATAATCCATATACAAACACTGCACCCCGAAATGAGAATGCGGGCCTTGTTTCTAGGAGGTGAATGAATGTAGAGGAATACACCATCGGGCATGAAGGAAGGAGGAAGCACGACTGGACATTTAATCCCGCGCCCGCTTTCTTGAGAGGGGATTTGGATATAGCTGGCTTGGGGGGGACGGAGCGTTGGTGCTGGCCTGGAAGTTTTCCCTTCATCTTGCAGACGACGAAACTCTTCCGCTCCGATCCGAGAGGAATGTTCAGTAAGGAATGACATGAAGGAGAGGGGATCCGAGACTCACATCCCACCATTCTTGACCTTTCGGGGCCGAGAGACGTTGTGAGATCAGTTATGCGCCGATCCGACTTGTGGTCTGGGGGACCCGGGTAGGTTTAAAGAGGCTGGCACGGAGGTAATGTCTGACTTAGTCGTTCTAAGTTGTAATGTTTCTTGTGCTTGAAGATGGATTCTGATGAGTATCTACGAAAGGACATATGAAAGAGCCTTTATACACCTCCACTTTCTTAAGAAGAGGTTTGAGAGCGAGCAAGGCGTCGTCATGTCGGAAGTACAGTTTGCGAATTTGTCTCAGTTCTTAACCTCAATAGGCTGAATCGGATTGATTTCTCTCCTTCGATTCTTATTCGACATCTTTGAAGTCCCGCTCTCTTGATATCTGTTTCAATTGTCGACAATCTTGGGAAGTTGGAGGGGTCAAAATGTGTGATCGTGTGATTTGACGCCTTCTATTGTTCTTTCGGAGTTTTGCTTTTCTTTCGTCGTATCACCACTCCAATGCTCTGCCATTCCCCCGTATCGGAAGCTAAGATGGCTGTCTCATATGCGCTGGTGACTTATTCGCCGGGTGGTGTGAGATTGAGTGTGGATTTTGAAAATGGTACGGACATAAAGTAGAGGGTTCTTCGGATTTGAATAAGGAGAGCATAGATTCCAGTTCCAGCTTACATAACCATTCAAGGGTAACCTCGCAAGCAAGATTTACACGAGGACCACGATATGATTGGTTACGGAAAGCCATAAGGATCACCAGTCCAAGTTTGCGAAACCGGATTTCACGATTAACCCTCCCAAAAATGCTGTGCTGTACCCCACGGAAAATTAATCACTAATATTCAATACAATTTAGCGGCTATGGCCCTATAATTCAGTAATCAAAAGCCTATAAGTAGAGGCTTAGAGAGGGGGAAAAGGAAAGCGAGGGCGATTTTTGGTTGGGTGAATCATGAAATCCGGTTTCGCGTTTTTCGCGTTTATCACTTGGACATCACGTTCTTACGGCTTTCCGTAGAGGATCCACTAGCCAACCGCCCAAACCCGCCAACCGCCCAGCCCAAAAATATAATTTTTCTATTATATCTTTATTATAATTGCAAACCCTATTACACATTACCACTTTATAGTATTTTCGATAACCTGACAGCTACATGCCCGTTTAAAACTAATAGTGCGGCTATTATCCATAAAGTAGTGCTTTTATTACCTTTGCCCCGCAATCAAAACCCCTTACTAGAGAGGCATTTGCTTCTTGTACGTTGTTAGAACACCAAAATTTTGAGATATTTTTTTACAGTACTAAGAAAATGCTAAAAACTTCTAGAAATACTATACTAAGGTCGTAAATCACGAATATCTACTCAAAATTTCGTTGTGGTGAGATGGGGTGGACGGGTGGGGGTATGAGCGGTTGGGGGCTGGATCCTTCTAATTGGTTCACAAATACGGCGGCTCAGCGGGGTGGAACCCACTGTGGCTTAGTGTTCAACTACATTCCACGCATGTTCCACGAAGGGCAACCACAAGCAGTTACAACCCTATCGAGCTTTGAATTCAGTGAAGCCCTACGAAACTCGTAATGATAGAGACTGCAGAAATACTTGCCCAGTCAAGGTCAAAAGCATGTGCGACCTGTATCACGAGGAAAGCAAAGGTGGGCATTTCCAATCTCTCTTCCACCCAATCTTCCGTGTAGGCGCTGTTACTAACTTGTATCAGTGTGACAGGGCTCGCCCAGCCTGCTCACAATGCATCCAAAGTGGTTGGCAATGCCCGGGCTATGTGAAAACATGGAAGAAACGGGAGATCAAAAGCCGGAAAACTCGTCCACGTTGTTTGTTAACCCCTGCTCTTGATATGAAATCCTCAAGTTTCTAGTGTATTTAGTCTCTAACCAATGTTTCACAGATGATCAAGAATGGCTACCAGGCCAGGAACCGAAAAAGGAACCCGTGGAATCTCGACCCAAGGGTGTGAAGGTTGCCATTAGGCGCAAGTCCCAGGCCCAATCAACCTTTCCAACGCCAATAGATCTCTTCTCCCTATCCGCAACGCCTTCAAATTCTTCACTCTTGGTCCGCCTCGTTGACCACCTTGGCGATAAGAAGCCTCAATGGATGACAATTAATAACCTTGGAAGCTTCTTCCCCTTTATTCCCCAAAGGCTCGGTCACAGCAGAGCTCTCGATGATGCCGTGCAGTGTATCTGCACCGCGTATTCAGCATTAATTTGTTCCAACGGATCAGTCATTAGCCAAGATCGTCGGGAGTACTACCAGGCCTTAAGGAGTCTTCGGTTAGCATGCCAGGACAAGAATGAAGTGTTCTCATCTAATGTTTTATGTGCAGCTGTCCTACTCTCCTGGTACGAGGTAAGTCTTGCTCAACCCATACCAACAACAAAATTCTAAGTCAGTACAGATATTGGCCGACAATCTAGACAATTCCTGGATAACCCACATCGGTGGTTGCGCAACCCTCGTGCAACTCCGCGGACCATCTCGTCATATATCCGGGTTCGACCACGCCCTCTTAAAAGCAGAAGAAGGTTCAATGACCATCGACTCCTTCCTCAAACACCACCCCTGTTTCCTGGATACCCCACCCTGGCGCAGCATAGTCGATAAACCCACCGAGCTCTCCGCCGCTCGCTCCTCAGCCGTCGGCCCCGTAAACGCTACACTTGCCCGCCTCTCCACACTCATCAACGAACTGGATAACCTCTCTTCACTCTCCTCACCTGCAGCCTCACAGATAGTACTCAAATTATGTACGTTAAGGCAGAATGTCAAACTTCGACTGGCGCGGAGTTTGAAGGGGAAAGAGGAGATTTATACCCCTATAATATGCTGCAAGGATAGTAATTATCTCCTTTTGATTGATACGACACTTCTGAAGCTCCTGGATTCCTCGGACCTGCCAGAAACTGGATTCCCGCTGATCATTGCAACATTTCCTTTCCAAGATCAGAATAACACTCTCCCAATGTTCCAGGAGTACCTGGAAGGTCAAATATCTAGCCACTTTGAGATGTTTAAGGAGAAGTTGATTTTGGCCAGTAGAGCGACGCCGTTCAGTGTGCGGAAGATGTGTTTCTTGTGTAGGGTAATAGGCGAGGAGCGAAGGAGGAGAGAAAGGAGGCTACATCCTGTTTGGGTGGAGTTCGAGGGGGCTATTCACGGGGCTAGTGAGAGGGGCTGGGTGTGGAGAGTCAAGGGGGAAGTGGTGGAGTTGTGACGTTATGCGGACTCCTATGAATTGTCCCGACACGGATGGATATGAGGATGATCAATGTGCGCAACTATCGACCAACATTCTCGGTCTCTGCATACGAGCTTCAACCACACCTCACCACACCTTCGGCCCAAAAGTTTGCCCCCTCGTCACCTTCTTCTGCACTGCAATCTGCAAATAATCCAACGTTCCGGCAGGTGCGCTATTTCCCCACTAGTCCCGGAACCCCGTGCCTGTCAGATTCAGCGCAGCAATAATAACAATCGTTGCAATTGCCAACCCGACATCCAACCCGGCACTCGTGATATAATTAAACCGCATCCACTAGCCCCTATACCGATTCCGGATGAATTTCTGGAATGCAAATTCTACGAGGGACCAGGAAAGATAGGAGAGTGGTATTGCGGGAAGGAGCTGGCCCATACCGCTGAAGAAGATGGGCGCGCTGACGAAGCGGGCTTTGGAGCGCGGAAAAGTGCCGGCGATAAGGTAGATGATGATGGGCACTAGAGCGCCGGCGAGCCAGAAATATTGCAGACTGCCGTAGAGGGAGCCGGTCGAGAAAATTCGCTGCGGATGAGGCCGAATATCACTGAGGCGTTGAAGAAGACGCGAGGCCGGGACAGGTGAAGTTGTTTGCTTGGCCGGACTTGCAGATCCCTTTTATGTGGTCAAGGGCCCATTCCATGGTTCCGAGCTGGACAACGCAGCTCCAGAGCGTACCAACTACTTGTGCGAAGAAGGTTACGCGTTGCGGTACCTTGAGATAGAGGCCAAGCTTCAGGTCTTGCAGGAAGAAATGGGCCTGGTTCATGGCTGGCGATGGTGATGTAGCCATAAGTTTTGAACAACATCATGGCGAGCGGCCGGCCGGGTTGCATATATCCAATGATATATTCCGTGAACACATTCAATCCGAGATGAATATTGATTGTCGCATAGACGATTCCGATGGGAATGGTCCACACGAACGAAATGAGGAGAGCGATGATAAGCGCCCACCATGAGAGATTTGTTGGCCAGGCAAGACAAGTAGCGAAACTGAATGCATTCATAACAATGAGAAGGACACCGTACCACCAATCGGGGACGGCTTTGTATTTTCGCATCATTTTCATATGGTTGTCATCCAACGAACCCTTGGCCGCTTTGGAGCGAATCTAGATCTCCTCACCTTGAGAGAGGAGGACATAAATAAAAACAGCAGCAATCGAGGCAAAAGCGAGGCCGTAGAATATAGCAAATGTTGTTGATAGAAATAGTGGCGAGTAGGCTTATGTTCCGTCAGAAAATTATCACAAACGGAAGTGTGGGATAAGGCATGCCTTGTACTTGGCCTCATCTAATGTGAATTGTGGTGTAAGGATCCTGGAGACTTTGGACTCCTCAATCTCAGAAAATACCAAGAGGAAACAGCTTTGGAAGAAGTTGCTACCAAAATTTGTTGAGCAAATGATAAATCAATATGACCGTTGTTGACAAAATTCTACCAAGCGAGACATTGAAGACCCAAAGTTTGTTTATAGTCAAAAGAAGAGAATTAACTGGAAATAATTATTCCTCTTTCACTTCATTCCAATCGGGATAACATTTGGGTTACTGAGACTCTATCTCGGGCACGTTTTCTGGACTCCTCCTTGGCAAGGAACCAACGTCCTCAATCAGGCTTGGCAGAAATACCTAATTTCTGGTATCGATACGTATCGATGCCAGAATCGTAAGGTATCAATACTATCAATAAAGTATCGATTCCCGGAACTCAATTCCCCCCTTTAATTGTAATTAACTTTAGAACCACTTCCCTTATAAGAAAACTTTTGGTAGCGCAAATATTCTACTTAATTTAGGCTTTTTATTTAGCTACTTATCTTATAGTTTAGACTAAAACTCATCTCAATACGGCTATTTTAAGCAAAAAATAGCTTTTGAGATTTTTATAAGACTTGCTTATAATAAGCATTCTAATAAGAGATATAAATATAATACTAAATTCTCTAAATATAAGAGCTATTTTAAAATTAAGATATTAATAGCTTTTATTAATAATATTAAGTAATTCCTTTAATAGAAAAACTAGAAAATAAAGAAATTATATATAAATATATTATTATATAAATTAAATAATAAATAAAAGAAATAATTTAAGGCTAAGTATTAATTCGGTATTAATATATATTAATTCTTGTAATATCTAACTAATACTATCTAGTATTAATACTTTATTAATATTAAAAGTATTTTTACTAAGCCTGTTTCTAATACTTTTTAGTTTATAGTAAAAATCCACGAAGCTAGTAAGTAAGTCTTACTATTATTTAAGCTATTTCCTATTAATAATTAGTATAAATACCCTTGTATTTTTCTATAATAAAGATTAGCTTTTTACTTATACTTAACCTTAAAATATAATAATACTTATTTAACTAAAGATATATTATTTCTTTCTTTTATTACCTCTAATCTATTTCCGATTTCCTTTTTATAGCCTGCTAGATATGCCTCTAATATATGTTTAATTTTTACTATTAGGAAATATATAAGTAAATTAGATATATCTAGTTTTATTATTATTATTACTTCTAATATATACTTAGTATATATAATTCTATATATTTAGTATATACTAATTCTAATCTATAGAATCTTTATATTCTAATATATCTTAATATAGGTATTATGGGCCAGGCCTTTATATAAAGAAAACTAGTAGTTTAATTAATTAAATAAAATTCTCTAAGAAGAAAAGAAGAAGAAAAATAAAAGAAATAGAACTATATTTTTTAAAGTATCTGAACTCTCTAAATAATATATAATTATTCTATTAACTCAAGGAAATATATTATATAATTTAATATAGGCTTCTAGTTAAGTATATAAATTGGGTCTTAACCCGTTATATTATTTCCTTTTTTATTTATAAATACTAATCTTATAAATATATAGGCAAAACTTCTTTTTATTAAATAATTTTCTTTTAAGTTTCTAATATTATTATTTCTTTAAATATGAAATATAGTTCTTAGAAAAAATATATATAATTCTTCTATTTTATAAATAGCTTTTTTAAGAATTTCTAATTATATCTTATATATTTCTTATTAAGAATCTATTTAATTTCGTATTTGTCTTTATTTCCTATAAGCTATAATTATAGCTATAAATTGTTTTAGAATTAATTTAATAATAAATCTATTATAGCTAGCTAAAAGAGCTTATTATAAAATATATTATAGATTTCTAGAAGAATATTAAGCCAAAAACTATAGCTTTCTATTACCTTAACTATTATATACTTAATATACTTAATATACTTAATATACTTAATATACTTAATATACTTAATATACTTAATTTACTTAATATACTTAATATACTTAATATACTTAATATACTTAATATACTTTATATTAAGCTTTTTAATTAGCCTGTTTATTTAGATATTCTAGAAATTAAGCCAGATTTTATTTCTAATTTTAAATTCCGGGATCTAGTTTTTCTTCCGGTTTACTATTTTCTTTTAGAATTACTAGACTATTACTATTATAGCTTATATATACTTTTATATATTATAGAGCCTATATATAATATTATTTACTATTTAAATAAATAATAGTTCTTTGTTTTTTTTACTAATTTTGTTTTAGAACTATACTAGCTTAATATAATATTTATAAAATAAAAAAAATAAACTAATTCTCGTAAATAAAATATCTCGGACATTAATTACTATTTTAATATATAATAAAATAGTTATCTAGTTTACTTAATTATAGTTTATAAAAGTATAAAAAAAGTTTTAATTATTTAATTTATTCTTTTTATAAACTCGTTTATTTTAGAATAATATATTATAAATAGTTAATAAGTAATATTTAATAGCTTATATATTCTAGTTTATAGTACTTTTATAAATTACCTTTTTTAATTAGAGATTATTACTTTTAGAAGCCTATACTAGTAATAATAAATTCTTATAAATTATTTTATTATTATCTTTATTATAATATTTATTATAGCCTTAAGTATTACTTCTTTTTCTAGGTAATTTATAATAATTATTATATTAATATATTCTTTATTTAATAGAAGTTTTATTATAAAATTAATTGAGATTTTTTATTAGATTTAACTCGAAATAAAAAAAAGCTTTAGAAACTTCTAATAGTAATTCTTTTATATTTTATTCTTTTTATAAATATTATAATTTTATATAAACTAATATATTTACTTTAATATATTTGACTAAAAGAACTATTATATAAAAAAAAATTTATAATATTTTATTTTAAATAATTATATTAAATCGAGTTATAGATTTATTAAATTAGCTTTATATAAAGCTATTTTAAATTAGAAATCTATTATTATTTCTAGAAAAGAAATTATTTTAATTAGAATAATAAATATTCTTTTATTAATATTTTAATTTTTGAATTAAATAAGAATATTTGTTTTTTTTTATATTACTTTAATTATAGCCTAATATAACTTGTTTTTTCTTAAGTATTATATTATAGTGAGAATTACTGAATTAGGGCTAGTGTAATTACTCTGCTTAGTCAGGATCTATATACTTATTTCCTAAAGCTTTATACTTTACTCAAGCTCTTTTCTAGCTAGTTTAATAAACTCTTTTATTACTAAATATAACTCCTTACTCTATAATCTTTACGTGTATTAGTTATGAGCCCGGCCTTATACTAATAAGCTTCCCAATTAGTATGCCGCAGAGAGTATTTAAGAGCTTATTTAATTTAGTTCTTTGAAAAATCACATTTTTATTCGTATTTCCGGTATTAACTAATTAATAGAAACTATTCCTATAGTTTCTATAGTTTCTAAAGCTCAATTGCGATTATATTAGAAGCCATAGTAAAGATTATTATCCTAAAGAACTGCAGTTTCTGGGCGGACTGGTTTAATGCTCTCTATAAAGTAGCTAGTAATAAGAATATCTGGGATAAGATTAACCTATTTAATAATAAAGTAATTAAAATGAATATAGCGGCTTCTTCTAGGCCTTTTCCTATAATTAATAAACTCATACTAAAGGAAATAGAAGATTGCTATACTAGATACCGAGTTAATACAGAAAATTAGGATAAAGATACTTGACCTATAGTTAAGAAAGAATTAAAACTAGTATTTTTATAGCTTATAATATTCGGGGATATTAGAGATTACTATTCGGTACTCTTATAGGACTATGAGATCAAGAAACTAGACTAGATAAATAAGCTAGTATACTACTATATAATTAGATAGTAGCTCTATTAAATAGTTAATATAGAGATTCTTATAAACTTTACTTTAGGCCTCGAGAAAAGTAAGTAAAGCTCTATTTGCGAGATTCTTAAGGTATTATTAATAAAATACGGTTTTACGGATATAGTATAAATTATTACTATTTAGAGAATATATAGCTCGGTCTTATTATAAGTAAGTAAAGGAGAAGTGAGCCTAAAGTACTAGTTTACTAATTAGAAGAAGGTACTTAATAGGGCTAGAGCTCTTAAAATCACTAAAATTAAAGGTACTCTAGTAATAATTGAGTTCTTAATAGCCCTCTAGCGGAAACTCGTACTAACTTAGGTAATAGAATAACTTAGTAATCTATATAGTAAAGACAAGCTAGGGCTTCTAATTCTTATACTCGAATAATATGGCTAGGTATTTAATTAGATTATTTTAGAGAACTAAAATACTAAGTACTTAGGAGCTCCTATAATCTTTACTATATTCGGGAATTAAACTAGTAAAGAATTAGATAGTAAGCCTAATTCGGATAAGTATAAGTACTATAAGTGCCCTTATAAGGGTTCCAAAATCTATAAGTATAAGTGGGACCTATTTAGCTATATTATTATAGAAATTATAATTACCGGATTAAGTAAAACTTGGACAAAATTTAAGTCTAATAAGAAATAGATCAGAAAAATCCGGGAAAGGATCTTGACCGAATATTAGAAGAATCTAAAACCTTAGCTAGAAGAGAAATACAGTATGAAAATCACTAGTAGACAAGCTATAGAGAAGCTAATGCCCGGTACTAGTT